GTTACAGTAAATCATCTCATTAACTGGAGTGGGAAGTGACGCTGAGATCCATTAAGAGCACTCAACACCAAATTAATTGCATCCATAGTTTGTTTAAAATACCTTGTGATAATCTGCAAGAGACTTTCCACAGTTTGCCTATCCCACTTCAGTGCTAGCTTGTTTTGGAGAAACTTAAGGGTGGATGAAAGGAAGTTAGGAAAGGGTAAAAGAAAGAAGCAGTGAAGGTGAAGAACAACCACCATGACCAAAAGCTACATGTCTGGTTTGCGAGAGAATCCAGCTTTGGGGCTTTCACATTCATACAACATCAGTGGTTGTGTACGAGTATGCAAAAATGTGCTTTGGGAGCTTTTTAGTTACACACACACACACCACACCACACACACACACACACACACACACACACACACTGTGGAATAAATGTTAGCCTGGCATCCTCTGCTCCCCTCCATTAGCAGCTACAGATTTGTTATTAGCCAATCATCCGCCTCCCTCACATTCCCACCCATTTCCTGGTCTGGCAAAGACGCATGTATTTGTTACTTTTCATATGTTTATATTTGAGTGTGTGTGTCTGTGTGTGTCTGTGTGTGTGTGTGTGCTCCTTCTCCTCCGAGCAGAGCTGTAACCGTGCTGTCATCTATTTTCCCGCCCAGCACATTTCAACCGCCCAAGTGTGCATGTGTGTATCATTCTTTGACAGCACATGAACATGAAGACAGTGGTGCACCGCTTGCACTCACGTAGGTGGTGTTAGCGTGCGTGTTTCTATGTCTGCGACCTAATGCATCTTCAGAGATAAGTAGCAAGGATGAGGGTGTGAAGATAAACACAGCTATACATTTGAGCATGCAATTATGTTTAGTTATGTACTTCAATGTCATTAGCTTTTCTAATATCACAGTATGTTGCAACAGGCCTCATTGTTGATTTTGTTTTGTTTTTTTAAATCAAAGCTTCTCGGGTTACCATCGGACAGTTCAAATATGTTAATGTGACATTTTAAAAACTGCATCTGCCAGAAAGCCATCTACTAATTATGAGACAGAGTAGGCTACAGAGTCAGAGAATAATAACCATTTACAATATTTACAGTTTAGTAGGCTAAAACTTGAATGCAAATTTTTTTTTTTTTTAAACAAAAATGGAAATTGTCTTTCTCATGGATTAAGGAAGCTGGCGTGTCTGTCGCCGCTTCTCATGCTCACAAACAATATGCACAACTCCAGCTACTCTGTGATTCTAATCCTGCTGCTTCACTAAGATGGTTTTCTACGTTATGCTACTAGTTGGATTCAATTTCTCACACTCTGCAACTGCTTTTTTTCTATGTGCTCTAGTAACGCTACGGGATCTGCTAAACCAGTGGCTTTTTCCAGCTGCTACATTATCTTGTAGAGTTGTCAACAGGCTACTTCCAAAACTTGGCTTTATTCTGTCGATCCCCAAACTGCCAACAGCTATAATTACCACTGACAACTGCTTTATCCTCCACAGTAGTCTCTGTTGAAGCTTGGCCATGATTCTCTGGTGGATGGTCTGTGGCTTGTAAGCAAATGCCAGCTAGCGTTGGACAAGCTAGCAGTCTCCTCCGGCGTCATGGCTTTCATAAGGTACTCCGCTTTGGAACTCAAGAATCTCCCCTCGCACATCGTACCGAGTTATGTTAGCCTTGAGGTGATTAAATCTCTCCATCTCTTACGTCGCCCCACAATGTGCACAGGGCTGCCCGACATAAGTTTGTTTACATGGAGATATCCCCGGCTACTCCTGCTATTCGGTGCATCACTACTCAGCGACGACGTCTTCAGAGTATGATGCGCCTACGTTCATTTAGCCTACGGCCCTTGGAACGGGCTGTTGATGTCATCTCCCATGCCAATACATCTGTTCATAAGACTGCCTCATTTATGCTGCTGAACACTCGCTCACTGAATAAAAAAGCGCCACTCATACACGACATCATAACAGATAGGAAACTGGATTTCCTGTGTCTGACTGAAACTTGGCAGAACTAAATGGACTTTCTTGCGCTTAACCAAGCCACCCCCAAGGATATAGTTACATTCAAAAGCCCCGTAGTTCTGGACGGGGTGGGGGACTGGCTGTCATACATCATGCGGACATCTTCGAGTGCATTCACTTTGCTCTGTCTGGGCCTCTGCAGCTACAAGATTCTTGTCTATCGCCCGTCTAAGGCATCTGTTAGTTTCTTGCCTGACCTTTCTCACCTTCTTGCTCTGATTTGTCCCACCTCTCCAGCTACCATCCTACTTGGTGACTTTAACATCCATGTTGAATCCAGTGATGTTTTCGCTGCATAATTTCTTCACTACTGGACTGCTTTAATTTCATACAAAGGTCATACATTGGACCTGGTTATTTCCGATCACCTTGCCGTCATGTTCTCTGTTTCTGTGCACAGGACCATTACATATTGAAACATCAAACAAGTGTTCATGCCTAAACTATCCTATACCCTTGCAGGCCATCTTATCAGCTATCCCCCAAACTGCACGGTTGATGACTTAGTTAATCACTACAACCTGGCCCTGTCACGTAGTCTGGACTGTGTTGCCCCCCTCATCACTCGATCTGTCTCCTTATCCTGTCCTGCTCCCTGGTTCACTGCTGAACTCCGCCTTATGAAGGCCACAGAGCAGAGGCTGGAGAGGTACTACAAAAAAATCTGGCCTCTCCGTCCGCCAGGAAGCCTACAATGACCATGTTAAAAGCTACAAAAATGCTCTGTCCAGGGTAAAAACTAAACTATTACTCTACACTAATTGGCAACCAACAACATCAACCTAAACAGCTTTTTTCCACCATCAACTGTCTACTCTGGCCACCTAACCCTCCTCGACCATCTGACGCTGCTGGCCTTTGCTCCAGGTTCCTGGAATACTTCCAGAAAAAAGTAGAAACCATCCACCAGCAACTGCAGCTGTCCATCTCCTCCCACCCAACCACACTACTGCTGCTGGACACAAACTCTTTAACTGTCACATCGAAGGACTGCCTCTCCTCTTTCTCCCCGCTCAAAACAGCTCAAGTTCTTGAGCTAGTGTCAAAAGCAAGGCCACAACCAACAAACAAGATCCAATGCCGACCGCCTTGGTCAAGGCATGTCTTCCAACTCTGGGTCCCACAGTGATCAACATCATCAACACCTCGCTGTCTTCTGGGGTGGTCCCCACCAGCTTTAAAACTGCTGCGGTGATCCCTGTACTTACACAAAAACCTGGCCTGGACCCAGATGATCCACACCACTACCACCCAATCTCCAACCTACCTTTCATATGCAAGGTATTGGAAAGAGCTGTGGCTGACTAACTCAACCACCATATGCTACATCACAACTTCTACGAGCCATTTCAATCTGGTTTCAGGACACGTCATAGCACAGAAGCTGCCCTCATTAAAATCACAAATGACTTTTTCATGGCAGCTGACTCTGGCCATGTCAGCATCTTAATTCTTCTCAACCTCTTTGCAGCCTTTGACACTCCTTTCCGAACTCATGGGCCTCACTGGTACTGTGTATTCTTGATCACACCAACAGGTAACAATACTTCATCCTTAAGGGCATTTGCTCTGAATTGGCACCAGTCTCACACGGCGTGCCTCAAGGATCAGTGCTTGGCCCACTACTATTTTATATCTACATGCTACCTCTTGGGATGATCATCCGGAAACATGGACTACACTTCCACTGCTACGCAGATGACATCCAGCTCTACATCAGCACTAAATCTCTTACTCCCCTTTCACCAGTGCTGTTTATACAACTGCCTGAACGACATAAATAACTGGATGGAAAATAACCTCCTCAAATTGAACAAAAACAAAACAGAACTCAGAAAGGTTGGTGACATCACACTGGATGTGGATGGCTGCTCAATCTCTGCATCCCATCAAGTACGCAACCTGGGCATCATCATGGACTCCACCCCCTCCTTTCAACAGCACATCAAAAACACTACTAAAACTGCCTTTTACCATCTTAAGAACATCTCCAGACTCCAAAAGTGCCTTTCCAACTCTGTAGCTGAGACCCTCATCCACTCCTTCATCACCTCCCGACTTGACTACTGTAATGGTATCCTGTTCGGTCTGCCCAGCAAGGCTACTGACAGACTCCAGCATGTCCAGAACTCGGCTAGGATGCTCACCCACACAAAAGCGCCCTTGGGTTTGTGAAAGGCGCTATTTAAATCAAATTCATTATTATTATTATTATTATTTTCAATTACCTTGCTGTCTGTTTCTTCTCCATGTTTGCACAGAAAACAACCAGCCATTTGTTTAGCAGTTGATTGAGTATCATGGGAATGTGCGGTTAATTAATGGATCAACATTTTGGGAAATATGCTAATTTGCTTTCTAACCAAGAGTTAGATGTTGAGACTGATACCACTCTCATGTCTGTAGCTACAGTTAAATATGACCAGCAGCTGTTAGCTTAGCTTAGCACAACGACTGGTAACAGGAGGAACGAGCTAGTCTGGTTCTGCTCATCGGTAAGAAAATCCACCTAGCAGCAAACTCAGAAGATCACTCAACATATTATACGTTGTATGTTTAATCCACACAAGTATAAAAAATTGCTGTTTTACGAGGCGGAATGTGCCAGACCAGTAACTTCTTGGAGTATGCCAACTGGCTGCTAGCTGTGGCTTCACAGATATCGTACAGACATTGCAGGGGTATCAGTCTTCACAAGTTAAAGTTATTGCACAGTAATGCAATTTTAAAATTAATAAACAACACCAGTTTGATTGATATTCCCACACAAAAAAATATGATTTAGGAAAATAAATAAAAACAGAGATCTGTTCTTGCACATTGTAGGTAAAGTGAAGGATAGCAAAATTGCATGTACAGTAGCAGTGCAAGCAGCAGCCACATTCATCTCATAATTTAAAATAATCAAGAACTTACCACACCAGAGTTAATTATCCTCTATTTTATTAATAAATGCTCTTTTGTTTTTAGAAAAAAACAAATACTTACAAATACAGTACGCAAAAAGCTTTGCCCCTAATTTCCAATGACTTTTTCCTAATGTAACACAATAATTTACACAAGGTGGCTCAACACTTACAGGAACACTACAGCAAAAAAAACAGACTTCCTTATTTGAAAGTTTGACAGGGTTGAAGTGTGTTTGATACATCATGCCAGGCACTTAAAATCCTTGGAAAAGCCAAATGACAGGTGAGTAAATCATGCACGTGAAACCATTTAATATAACATAGTTTGCAGTATTTAGCCTAGGTTTGGCATACACCATCTGACTATTTACTTAATACTCCCTTGTAGCATGATTTTTACTATTAACTTCACTAGAATCAGAAACTCAGTAAATCAAGGAGGCTGTACTGGACAAACAATAAAACCTGAAGCAACCACTATTCAGCAGTGTGAATCATACATCTTTCAGAAAAATAATGCAAAAAAATTCAGTTGCACCATTTTGCATCCCCATCAAATAAGGCAATCACCAGTAAAACCTGCAAATGGCACACAATGTGGCTACCACTTAACTATCCAAAGTCTTCTGAATTTAATTTTGAACAGAATAACAAAACAGAAACGAAGTTTTTTGATTTGTTGAATGTACATAATTGCCTTCTTGTTTAATGCTGATTTGTAATTTGATATAAACTCACTCAGAGGCCGACCACAATTTCAGGTATTCAAACCCATCAAACAGAAAGTGAGAATATGATTACAAATGTACAATATGGTGCAGTGTGTTTGTGGTGACAAATGCATAAAAGCATAAAATGATAAATTCAAAAGATGGTGTGAATCAGAAATTACCTTGCGTGTGTTTGTGTTTGCAAGTCTCCAAGGTTTTCTCCAGAGAGGTTTTGGATTCACAATACAGACATTTTGTCAGAATAAGTCACAGTATACACAAACTGGTATAACTAGAGTGTTCCACAGCTATAAATGGAAAAACTATATTAACAAATGTGTGTTATAATACACTTTCAGTGTATGAACTGGTAAATGACAGCACTGTAAAATCTCAAAGAGGGAAAGGACTTGTCCCTATTGACAAAAGTACTGATACAGTACAGGACAGCAAAATATAACCAATAAGATCACCAACCAAATTACTGCAAAAATCCCTATGAATAAGGCCCTACTGAATTGTGTCAAGAATCTATAAAGTGTCCCTTTCCTTTTATATAATGTGTAGTTATTCACTAGAACAAGTGCAAACAGAAAGGGAGTGAACAACAGTAAAGTGTCCAAAATGACCCCAAAAACCTGTTGGTATCGTACTGTATTTAAACATGAAGCATTGTGAGCACAGGAGTAGAGCTTACAAAAAGTTGTGTAGTTCATGTAAGATGCAGTAATGCGTTAATACAGTATATGCCATATGTTTATATTCAGAAGATTGAAGACCAAAAACATTCACACATGAAATATAAACACAAAATGTGTTTAGATTTTTGGTATGTACATGCTATAAAGTTGCATTATGTCAATCAGAATATTAAGACACTGGGCTTTGAATGTGACATATTCAAAGTACATTAAAAAATGCACAACATTCTGAATATGCAAAAATATTAAATATCAATAAATAACTCATTGTCCAAAATAAATTGGACAAAGTTAAGTTTTTCCTTAATAATACCCTTATTTGATTAGAAGAAGTTGGGTTGTGTATCACAATATCTTCGAACACATCCTCAAATAAGTAAAGTTTTCTTTTTTACGTCATGCTTTTTATCTTATATAGTTACCTGAAATTAGTAAAACTAATAAGCTTTTATACCTTCTAACACAGCACAATGGTGTGCTGTTCTATCACTGTTACCGCAGCAGCTTGAGTATACAGCATATATGCAACATTCACAAAGTGCTCAATACTTTTTCTTTCCCAAAGAAAGGGTGTGAGATGTTTCTTAAACATGAGATAACTATAACCTTCAGTTAAGCTAAAGCCTGAATCTCAAGGAAGTTTTGTGCAACATCAGGGTTTCTTTACCTGACTTATGATGATGACAACCTATTGTGTAATGTTACTGTACTGCAACACTGGTGTGAAAATCTCATAGTATTAACACTGTACGTCATAATATTGAGTTAGAATCTCTAAATTTTCAATTAGTAGGTACAAATTTTGACTTTCCTTCAGAAATGTCATACATTCTTGTATTTTGTTGGCAGATATTGGATTCCAGACACAAGGAAACCACCATTACAGTTAAAAAAAATGTGTACAACAGATGTATTTCTTCAGCACTAAGAGAGAATATAAATTAAATAAAAAGTTCCAAAGCATTGGTTGGGGCCTGTTGTATATATGTAAAGTAACATCCATCAATAGAAATATTGATTCAAACTGCAACTCTCAGTGCTGTAACCCGCACAACAACCAACAACACGTCTAAAACGTGGAGATGTGATTGACACGAAAAACACATGAGATTCAGTAAAGTGCCGCTTCAAATTACAACATATTTCTAAATTATGGCCATTTAGCATTGGAACCTCTACTCCACCCTACAAACTATTATACTGCTAGAAAATCATTAACTTTGGTTATTGACTAGCTGCACCTTTTCCTGTAGTGGTAAACTATTGTTTATCTTTACTGCAAAAGGCAACTAAGGATTTGCACTCTGATTGGACAAATGTCAAAGAAACTGAATATAGTACTCCTCCACTGTAACACACTGTTGATAAAGAAGCAAGGAAAGATATAGGACCTGCCTAATAAGTGTCTTCACAAGAATCTATATTACAGTGTGTAAATTAAATAAATAAAGGTCAACCTGCTTGAAGATCCAATATACCAGCATGTGAGAAGTGCTCTAATCAAATACTGAAGCCTCAGCTATCAATTACATGTTGTTGTGTGTGTGTGTAAATGTGTAACTGGACCTTTGTTTTCCGGCTGCTATAAGCTATAGGCAGGAGTCCCAGTGTATCTGCAAGTCGTAAGTGTCCAGGAAGTCCGTGGAAAACACACTAGGGGGTGTCTGGGGAGCCAGCGGGGCCAGCGTGGGGGTAACCTCTCCCCTGTCTCCTCCCATGGTAAGGTCCAACCAATCCATACCGTCAAGCCCTTGCTCCACATCCGCTGCCATGTCGAAGGTATCCATGGGAGATGAGGGATGGTTCAGGATACTGGGAGTGCACAACATTTGACTGTGGAGGTCATCAATCAAAGTCAACAGGCCACCAGGCTCCACCCCCAGGAGAGGCTTACCGGTGGTGCTTTCTAGAAAGTCCTCCAGGCGTCCATTCACTGAGTTACTGACGTGCTGTTTCTCTTCTGTGGTGTCGGCCAGAGTCTGAAGCTCACACCGCACCGAGGAGGCCGACTGTGGCGTGTCGCAGCTGGGTGGGATGGGTGGTGATAGCAACAGCTGGAGTGGGGACGAAGGAGGGGAAGAGGCAGAGGAGTGTGGATTTAGACGGTCCAGAGAAGCGTCTGGCGCTGGTTTGAAGTTGGTCGACATTTCTGAAGGGAAATACACAGAATTTTCAAAATGAAACGTCACTCCCAATCCAACAAATCACCAAACTGCTGAGTACCTTTTTTGAAAAAACTATATTACTTAACAGACAGAACAGACAATGTTGTTGTATCTCACCTCCTGTCTGAAAAATGATGTCAATAAAATCTTGATGCTCTGTATCCTGAGGACAGTCACACAGAGGGAACAACAAGTTAACCTTCCAAACTGTATGTAACACATAAATGTGTGACATGAGCACTTGATGTGACAAGGCATGATGCGACGTACAACAGCATATCAAACAGGAATGTAGAGCAACAATGTTTTGCTTAATATAGGTTAATAAAACCTAAGAGACACCCCAGAGGGCAGTAAAAATCACACATTTTGGATTATGTACTTTACATTCATTCATTCATTGCACAATGACACAATCGGACATGCAGTGCGCCATACTTTGTTATCAGGTGATGAGGCAGCTGTCTTAATGGAAGCTGGAGACAGAGGACTAAACAAGACATCCAGACTGGGGCGCACCTCCTAGAGGAGAGGAAAATTAAGTGAAAAAACAAACAAACATTGCATCCAAAGTTATCAGGAGATCCTTTACAATGTGACTGGGTGATATGAGTCACCTTGAAAGATAATCCATGTCATCCGGATATTACTTACGATTTGAGAGGGAGGTGATGAGGTGTTTTTCCCTGAGGAAGCCGTCTCCTGGTCCTTGAAGAAAGGCTGCAGACTGGGAGGTGCTGACAAACAATGAGCAAATTCCTGCTGAGGCTGGGCTACAGATACCTGAAGTCCCCCATTCTGTGGCTGCAAATCATTTAAAAGGGTGGAGAAGATATAAGTATTTCTTACATGGAAACATTATTCGGAGGCTAATAGAATACTAATAAATCACTCATAATGTCCCTACCTTTGATGTCATTTATTTTTGCTGAGAAATGCCCTGCAACACATTTAGTGGCAGTCGTACACCTGTGCAAGGATTTTAAACTTCCACTGATAAGACTTCTTCACTAAGCTTTAGCCTACTCCCACCCCTGTGTTAAAGTGTCACTGTAGCGTTAAAAATATCACCAATATATGCAATGAGCACACAGTGTTCCACTAAATCTTGGCATTTTTCAAGGCAGGCTTTACCCCCAAAAGACCGAGTGCTCAACTCGACAAGAGATCCTGTACATCTCAATTAGCCAAGATGCGATGTAGTCTTTGTTCCTCCTCTATTAACAACATAAATCATAGTAATGGAGGATGTCATTAGAGTAATTAGCAAAGCAATAATAGTCAGCATTGGGCAAGTATTAGACACTCTTATCAAGGACTGCTGTCACTGGTCTCAAACAGCATACATCATTAACTTTCACTGCTACTAGACCAGTTCTCTCTCACCCTCATGTTTCTCTCTCTTTTTAAGGAGCATTAACAGACAGCTATTGCTCCAGTGACGGGAAAAAGAGGCCCTGGGGCCGGGGCTGAGAATGAAGTGTGTGTGTAGTATGATGGAGATCTATGAAATGTGTAAGAGATCATTTAAACATTTTAAACCACATTGATTTGTGGTGGCAGGAATGCTGCTTTCTCACTAAACCTTGGTCATAGCTAGCCATGGAGATAGTTTTGTTTTATCTGTTTTGACATATTAAACTATGAGATTGATACTACCACCCAAACACAATGGAACTTTGTTTATTGCACTCAAAGCAATCCTTCATTTCAGTGTGCCTTTTCAGAAACAATTGTTGACAATTCAGATCATCAATATCATCAATAGATTTAAACGTCACCTTTGTCTTTTGTTGTTTCAGAAATCCCATGTGCATGCTCTTTTTGGTTTGATTATCAGCTTTAGGCAGCTTAACAGGGTGGTGGCCAGGAAGCTTGGCTGGAGTGGACTGTAGTCGCTAGAGGAGAGGGAGAAATTGAAACAGTGTATTTAGTATTAGTTTTGCTAAGTGCTGAATATAACAATAAATTACATCAGAAAATAGCTTTTTTATGAATCAGTCTTTGCATTCACACACTAATGTATATATTTCTGATCCATAATGCTCATGTGCATGTTATTAATGTTAAAGACTATGTGCCTGTATATCTGGAACTTGAAAGCATGAACACATTACACCAGTGCTGGCCTCGCTCCATTGGCTCCCGGTCCATTTTAGAATACATTTTAAGATCTGTTTGTTTTTAAGTCACTGAAGGGTTGGCGCCTCACTACAGCCAGACCTCTTACACGTCTACACCCCCCCCCACGGTCACTTAGGTCTACTGACCAACTTCGGCTAGTCGCTCCAAAAACCAGGTTAAAAACCAGGGGCGACTGTGCTTTTTCAGCAGCAGCCCCTAAATTGTGGAATGAGCTACCTCCACAGATCCAATTGGCCCCGACCCTCGAATGTTTTAAATCCCGTCTTAAAACCCACTTGACCTCCCTGGCTTTTAACCCAGCATGAGAGCTGTGTAGCCTTGTTGTTTTATGTGTTTATGTTTTATTTCTTGTTCAGCACTTTGTAAACCTATGTTTTTTAAAATGTGCTATATAAATAAAATGGATTGGATTGGTAATTGGTTAACCTGTTCCATCAAGCATACAAGTTTTCAGAAGCATGCACTGAACACATATTCTGAGGCACCACATATAATTGAAGAATCTGGATTTTTTCAGGAAAAAAACAAACATGGCGGCTGCTCAAAGTCATGTACCTGCAGCGCGATGTGATTGGTTGCTTTGCTCTCAGGTGCATCGATTCTTTGATTCTCAGTGGTGTGACTGGTCAGTGCAATCAGGAAGTGGTTACCGTTGCTGTCGGTGACCAGAGTCGGGGTGGTGTTACTCTTAAGGAGATCCAGTGGGAAAGAAGAGCCTGACCCTGACTGCTGGTTGAGGTCCGCTTGAGACATCTGTGCAAAACCAACAACAATTTTTAGAGGAAGAATCTTAGTTCGTGTCCATTTGACTTCATATTCTTTACAAGCATGCCCAAAATTCAGCTCCTCTTGTGATTCAACAAATGCACTGATTTTTTATATATTCTAAGATCTGATCAGGAGACCATTGCTTAGCAGCATCCTTAACAACAGGACTTTACTGGTATCATGAGGAAATCTAACGCCTGTCTTTGTACTGTAAATTATATTATAAAAGCTATTCCTGACCTGCGGTGACTGCGGCTGCGCCTGTTGTTTCTGCTGTGTTAGCATCTGTTGTTGCTTCAGACGTATCTTGGTCTGTATCTGGATTTGTTGCAGTTGTTTAGTCTGCTGCTGCTGCTTATTTTGCTGCTGTAAATATGATTTTTGTTGCTTCAGTAGAATCTGTTGCTTCAGCTGCATCTGCTGTTGGTGTTGTTTGGACTGTTGTTGATGCTGCTGCTGCTGCTGTGACTGCAACAGTTGCTGCTGCAGTTTCAGCTGCTGTTTGTGAGACTTCTTCTTTCTCTGCTGAGACAGTTTCTGGAGGTTCTGCTGAGTCTCCAGCGTCAGACCACGGTTCTGAATTGTCTGCTGCTGGGTCTGAGTGTTGTGCTGTTGCTGAAGCAAAAATGTCTGTATGGCCTGTTGCTGGGCCAACTGCAGAGCGGTTTGCTGGAGGCATATGTGCTGTTGTTGTTTTGTCTGTGTGTTCATCTGCTTGATCTGGTGCTGAATCTGCTCCTGCACCTCCTGAGTTTGGGTCTGCGGTAATCCATGAGCGTCTGATAATGGGGTAGTTGTCTCAGACACAACTTCCTCTGCCTCGATGGCTTCCTGTTTGACAGTTACATTGGCAACATCCATCTCACATGAAACGGATGAAGGCTGAGGGGAGACTGGTGGAGGGCCAAAGGAAAGAGGGGCACTGGGCTTATCAGGAGGTTCTTGTTTAACTCTTAAAAGAACCAGCGGCTCTGGAAGTCGCCCCCCTCTCTTCCCATGCTCCAGCTGCATCCTCAGCACATCCACCAGTCTCTGTTTCTGCATTAGCATCCTGGTCAACTCCTCTATCTGCTTGTCCTTCTCCTGCAGCATCTTGTCTTTGTCCATTGCCACTACTGGGGCTGTGGTTGTAGTGTTGGGGGCAGCTGATGAGACCGGGCAATGTTTCTGCAGAGAGGCTGGCTTTAAAGAGAACTGACAGGGTGCTGGCGTGGAGCAGTTCGGCTCTTCTTTAATGTTCTTTGCAAGCTGAGCAGTGGGATGCGGTTGAAGGCTCAGCTGGGTGAGCGGGGAACTCATCTACACAGAAAGAGAAAAAATAAAATTAGGTTAACATAGAAAATCTTGAAATTAAACTGACTACTAAAATCACATTTAGTTATAGTATTTCAAATGTATATTAATTGATGTCCAAAATAGATTAGGTAATATAATTTAAGAATACTGGTAAAAAAAAAAAATTCTATACTAATATACAAATATCCTCTTAACTATATCATGAGACATAATTAAAGCTGGCAACTTTGGAGAAACAAGCAAGAGACAGTTAGATTTTAAACGTATCCAATCGAAAAAATCCTACCCCCTCCCATCAGGTAGACAGGTAGCCAGCCAGTCATTTCATTTGGATCGTATGAAATGACTGGCCATGCTTATTACAGTCCTGCGACGGCCACAGATACAGGATTTTTGTTTGATTTGATTTATTCATCGCTGTCAGGATGTAAAGAGACCTTCAACAATTAAAACTAATAAAACTAAATTAAGTTGTAATTAAGTGTATTTAAAGTTGTAATTAACTATTATATAATATAATATAACTAATTACATATGCGACTACTGACATAAATAGCAATTCTAGGTAGCTTTGGATAAAAGTGTCAGCTAAATGAATAAATGTTAATGTTATCAATCAATATTGCAAATGGAAGTATAATTAGTTTACTTAAGTTTAATGTAGCCTTAATTTGCAAGTAAACATTATGTTTCTATGTTATGATGATCACTGAACATGCAAGATCTGCTATAAGCTGTAAATCAATATATAAAATAACATATAGTATTTATGTTTCAATACATTCTTGTGGTTATCTAAGATCAAGTAAATGTATTACAACAACAACAAAATTCAGACCATTTCCCCCAATGGGTCGCTGTTAAAGCTGGTATCTTCTGGGCTCATGGCAGCCGGCAAGCAGTCAAAGGGGGGGAGCGAAACGATTGGGTTGGACATGAGCTGCTGAGGAGTGGCAGCAGCTGGGGTGGCACTGCTACCTGCACCAGCTGTAAGAAAGGATGATATGACATTAGGCAGGAAGTACAGAGATAATACATCATCTCAACTGTTTTCTCCATCTTCCTTGTCTGTTATCACTTGAATACAGCTGTGTTGAGTGGGTATTGATTCAATCACTTGACTGACCAGTCATAGAGGATGTCTGATGGCACTGAAATTGTTGCTGTGATGTAATGTTGTTGGTGGTTGCAGCGGTATTGGAGGATTTTCCTGCTCCTTCAGCCCCTGGCCCTGTGGTACCCCCTGCTGTTGGAGAGGAGGTAGTGTCACGGACTCCATTCAGCTCCTGGTAGGTCCTCAGCCTCTCAATGAGGTCATTTTTGGTGCCGGAGACTGGCAAGCTGCGCAGTTTCAACTCGGACTTCAGTTCCGCAACCTGATAGAAGGTGGAGTAAAAGAGAGAATTTGAGGACAAGATAGAGGGAATGCGAGGTGAGGATAGAGGTGAGGATGAATATCAGAGGAAAATTGAAAAAGGTTCAAAGGAAAGAGAAGAGAGAAAACAAAAAGACAAGAGTGGTCCATCACTCTCCATTTCTTTGGCAGCTCTGAGTTGGCAGACCACTTTACGGTGACAGAATTTTGTCAACAGAGAATGTCAACTTCTATCCACCACTTACTCCATCGACTCATGGCTTGTAGACAGCAGAGAGAGCTGTTGGTCTCCACTGTACTGATTCCAGACTGAAAATGTATTATGAGTGCAGCTTTCTTTTGGATTTGTATGTTGTTGTGCGGCTAACCTTCATTTCATCCAGGTTTGGAGGTAGAGACGCTGGTTTTGTTCCACCTAAAGGAGCAGTGCTCTGACGGCTGTGACTGCCCAGGTTAGGGGGGGCCGTTGAAGGGGCAGGTCGAGGTGGAGTGGAGGTGGCTGTGGAACTGGAGGAGGAAGAGGAAGATGGCTGCTGATCTGTCTGAGGTCTGTCAGAGGGTGGAAAAATACAGTAATCTCTAAGTCTTAAGACAATTAAATACAAGTAAACGTTGAATTCTGACACTTGTTCCCACCAAAATTCCCACCAGACGAGGCCAACATTACCTAGCTCCTGTAACAATTTGTCTGGCTGCTTTAGATTATGTGTGCTTGATACATGCTCCAAACCAAACTCCCCTACCAATCCCAGGCAGCAAAAGGTATGTTTTCCCCAGGTGTTACTATAAAATACAAACTTGACCATGCACAAAACATACTTGGGTGGTGCAGGAAGGATGGTGTGGTAGTTGTAGTGCTGCTGCTGCTGACTGAGGATCTGGAGCTGCAAGAAGAGCTGCTGCTGGTGGAGGATCTTGGCATAAGATGAGTCCAGATGGGGAGGAGGCTCTTTATCTCCCTTCTGGTCAGGAGGGATGTACTGATGGTACTTTAACTTTTTAATCTAGAGGACAACACAAAAGTACAACAAATAATCGTTTTACAACTATATTGCTGCTTCTATGACCAATTTGTTTCCACTTAGGTTTGAGGTACTTTTTTAGCTACCGTGTGTATGTCTAAATACATTAACAAAAAACTACCTTTGGCTTGTTGTCCTTAGGTTTCTTGTGTCTCTGATTGGAGCGGTCAGAGTTCGGTTTAGGCTGGGACTGAAAGAAAGAGGAGAGAGCTGGTGCTCTAAAACAACATACCTCATTTTTTATTTGATGTCAGATTAACAAAGACCATTAAACCTGCATTCATTTCTTTGACCACTTCAGGGTAACACAACAAGCTGTTCCAACATAGACATATTACCACTTTATAAAGCTGATTAGGCAAACAGCTGCCTTTTTACACATCCACTGTGCAACATTATCATTCATTTGGAGTTGTGTTTCTGGCCACCTGATGAATGTAAGTCCAGTATTCACTCTACTTGTAGCTCTAATTTCCGAGGAAAATATCTGTCTCTTTAGCTGCTAACTGCTCCACAGTGTTCACCAGATAGTCACAAACTTTGTCTGTACACTATTTGGTGTTGGGTAGATAGTTTAAAGTGTGTTAGATGAGATTTCTTTGCTTGGTCTTGACAGATTTAATTTACCTTGATCTGTAAGGTTGCACCTGTCCTCTGGGCAAATGGTGCTGCTATCCCATTGGTCAGCTTCAGTGAGGGGGACGATCCAGAGATTGGTGGGAGAGGAGGAACAGAGGGAGGAACCTAATTGATTTAGATGAAAAAATAAATAAACTTATCTAGAGCTAGACAAAAAAATCAGCCAGGCCAATATATCACCTGATATTATCTTATTGCAGACATATCAGTAGGGGTGTATATGTCAGCCCATAACAAGACATTTCAGCTTAGAAATGCTAAACTAGGTTTAAAAAGTCTCACTTTTACATGTTGTATTACAGATACGTCCACAAGAGAGAACCCACAAGCTGACTTTGAAAAATGCAGTTGTAACATAGTAACGTAGAGTTTACTACTGTAATGCAATTCACTTGTTTTACAGTCTTGCATCCATGACACACAACATGTAAGTCACGACGCGTCTGCCTCTCATTCCCGAGTGCTCCTACCTGTGTAGGAGATGGAACACTGCTTCCAGCCAGCGTCTCTGGTGGAGAGGGCACAGGTACCAGGCCCAGAGGAGACTCCTGGCTTACCGGCTGTTCTGGAGACAGACTGTAATTGCTGTCCTCATCACATGACGAGTTGTCGCCTGAAAGCTTTGTAAATTGTGTCTCTGTGAGAGGGAGAGGAGGGAGGAGAGAGGAAAGGATTGATATCTAGGCAGATAAAAACATAAATGCAACTTCAAAAAGAGCACTTGGTTTTTCCAACTTGTGAACACAAGTTACTGTATCTACCTCTTAGCCTGAGCTGCATTTACTGGTGTTAAGAGCCATTGTATTGCTCCTGACCATGCAGACATACTGCACTGTGCCAATAAACCAGCACTCTGTGAGCATCCCTTAAGTCAGCCAAAATGATCACCCGTGCTTCTTCTCCAAAGTCTGCTCCAAAACTGTCAACAGTGGATTTGTATGACAGCTGCTGCAGAGTGATCTAAACTCCTTGTCCTCACTGCCTGCACATCGTGCCCTTAAAAGCCCGTTTTAGATGATATCTTCACTTAAATAAATGCTTCTTTTGTCAATAGTGTGGCCAAGATAAGTCAAGCTTTATGCCAGTGATAGTTCTCATTCATCTAAATTCACTTTCAGCACAACCAAATAAGGCTGGCCACCTCATTGATAGCAGTTTTTATGTGACAGATGGCATCTCACTGAGGAATGACATTATGCTGAGAATTCTGGAGGATCAGTTGTGTAATTTATGCTATGAATGCATTAACTGTTTATGTGAAGGCTCCTCCTGTTTATGCCAGCCTTCTGTGCTGCTAATGACATTCTCTTCACAAAATGTTTCCCAGGCAACAAATACTTGTAGCTGATAAATTTAAAAATGGACTTAAAATCAGGGAAAGTATTTAAAAACAAACTGCATAAAAAGTAGTCAACCACCGGACAACTGTTTCAACATCAGTCATCATCGGCATCAGGTTGAAATGTCTTCCAGCACAGTCATGGTCCTGCTGCTAATTTTCCCCTCAGGGATTTCATATAATCATTTCATTATTATGCAGACTTTTGAGTCTTTACAGGGATTTAAAAGAATAAAGTTACTGGCGTAGATGTCCTGGACTAGGACAGAGGCTTTTCTTTTGCTGGTGGATGTGTGTTATTTAATTACAGGGCTGCTGTGGGCCAGAGCAGACAGCTACATAAAATACACCGCTGGTCATTAATTCACCATCAGCAGGTGATGATGAAAAGACAACATGGGGCTGATTTAATACCCTCTGATCCAATAATGTGATGACTTCCCTACCGCTGTGCTGTGCACGTGTGTGTTTGTGCGTCACGCTCTGTATGTTTGTGTCTTTACATGTCGACTCTGTGTAACTCTTGTGCTCCCACTGCTCCTACAGTAAGTGGCGATAATGCAATTGTGTTTATTGTGCGGCAGTGACAGAGATGGATAGTCCACTGACACTGTAGGTTATTGAATCCCAGCCTTCTTCCCTCCACACATCAATCAAGCCGCTGGACCCACTGTCCCCGATCTCATCATCTAATATTTGACAACAATGGTGCTGGACTAAAGATATATACTAAAAGTTGAATAGTACTGCTACTTTTTTCATTGTTGATGTTGTAATGGAAAAGGGTGAAATTGGGGTCATTCTATCTGTCACAATACCTAAACTGCAACTGAATGATATCACATTCATTCATTTACAGTCCTATTTCTTCAATTAGTATGTAATTATCCTTATAAAAGATAATGGGTTTTATTAACAGACACAGTGGCCATTTAAAATTGACAGCAGAGAAGGAAAAGCTTTCTTCACTTCCTGTCTGTCAGGCACGGATACATACATGATTTACTATTTCCTAGTTTAACGTTTCTAATCCCACTGCAGTTGCTTTTTGAAGCATGAACACTATCCTGTCTTGTGGTTCTTGTGTACATATAGCATGTGAATGTGCATGTGTACCTTTGTTTAAAGAGTGTGTATTTCGCCAGCCATCTGTTTGTCTGCCCGTGCGTGTGTGGCGAGCACAGATGAGGCATCTGAAGCATCAGTATGTTTATGATAGCTGGAGGACGGAGCCAGGAGAGACATCTTGTCAGGAGCCTCAAAGTGTGGGTGTGCTGTGATAGATCACACTTTAAAATTTATATTACACCTCCCTCCTCCACATATATGCAGGGCATATTTTATTTAACGGTGTATTTAGTATTTCTTGGCCACTAGGTGGCAGAAAAACAACAAAACGAGCTGACAGATGGAGAGCCAAGTTGTTATAGCTAACATGTTAGGAAACGTTAGTTTAAACATGTCATGTTCAACATTCACTCTTCTTCCTGCACTGTTTACCTCAATGTCAACATCAAAAATATTGTTTAATTTCTGGTTTATCGTATTTATTTGCTTTTGTTTAACCCTGTTTTAAAAAATGTAATAAGGACCTTTCACAAAAGACTGACAGGAACAAAAATAAATTGCCGTGGACTGAAGAAAAGCATGAACAGAACTCAACAGTGTCTCAAAAACCGATGGAGCCTGAAACCAGCCTCTATTACTACATCTGCACTGTTACAGGTGTTCTACTGTAGCTTGTTCCTGCCACATTGCTGGTGTTGCTGGTGATCAAGGTAAAGGAGGCTGCGGTCAGCTTAATCAAACGTAAATAATTCAACGCCTATGTCAAGCTTATAGTTGGCTCCACTAGTCTGAAGTGATTGTGAGAGGAGTTAATTGTAGTCCAGCTGAAGATGGCAACAATCCAAGAAACAGTTCATTTGGTGAAAAGTAATTGTAGAAACACTGAATTGTCTTGGATGGTTTCCATATGTCATTTAGAGTATAAAGATGAATCGGAAACCTTGCCTGGCTTACCAATGATAGCCTGTTTAATACTGTTGTGAACAGGTAGGATGTTTTTGTGGATAAGCTCCATGGGCCCCGGCCGGTGGGAGATCTTATCGTTCAAATCATCAGCAAGGCGAGCTCTCTTCAGCTGCAGCTGTTTGGCCTGAAGTGACGGCTCTGCTGACGTCTCTGGAAGCACGCAAAAACCAAACAACGTAAAGTTTTTTACCAGTGTGCTATGATCCTTGTACGTTATTTACAGATGAGCCTAGACTCCAGACAGACAGCAGGCTCTATGTGGCACTCACCCTCCAGGATGTGCATCCTGATCAGTTCAGATCGCTCCGGTCGACTCCTGATCTTCCTCTTGAGATAGTCCTCGGTCTGGAGAAAGAGACATTTGTGACAATCACTCACTTTTGGATTAATACCATTTTCCAACAACCTTTACTTTTAGCTAAATATCATTTATACATTACTTTTAGCTATTTCCCAATTTATCTTTTATTTGAAGCTAACTATTTCATCTGCTCATTTATTACTTTTAGCTAACTGTTTTTTGCTAACTAGCTTTCATACACTCTTAATGTGTGGCATTCGTGTGTTACAGCTCACACAATGTATGGGTGTATTTTTTATACAAATTGGAATTTGCATTTCTTTTTCAAATTGGCTGAGCTGCATCACAATGTTTCCACGTACCCCCAAGCAACTGCAGACGGACTCCTGGTCATTTATTTAGTGGATACTTTTATACATTTCACCTTACAGATCATTAGTAGTATTCGTTTTATGTGCAGATGGCCTAATCTCAGCTCTTATTTGCCATTTCCAGCCTCTTATTCAAGAGCTGCTGTAATGACATCAGATGTGAATGTCTGCTTTAAACAGGCCAGTTTTGACTCCAGTGAGCGATTCAAGGGTGGCGTACTCACCCGTGCTCGTTCCAAGCTCCGTCTGTGCTCGTGGAAGGCAGCGGAACTTTTCAGTGCTTGAAGAATAAAGAATGAGAGCAGAGCAAAAGGAGAGAGAGAGAGAGAGAGAGAGAGAGAGAGAGAGAGAGAGAGAGGATATTAACATGGCAGTGTGTACATTCATATGGAGAGTGAAAGTGGCTTTGAATGGCTCTTTGCTCTTTCAGTTTAGTTCCAGTTCATTTTGAATAGTTTAACTGATGGTGAATATTATTGCTCTTATATTACCAAAGCTTTTCCTTTCTAATATTTTGAGCACCATGTCATTATAGTAAATGCCTGCTCTCACTGGACATGTTTATAAGCCATGGCGGAACAAAATGCATAGTAGCCTGGGCAGTGGTCCCATTAAAAGGCCAAAAATCTCGAGGTCTATGGACAAAAGTAAATGGATGGACTCAGGGTTCCAGTCCAACGAGTCTCTTAACAGCACTGGAATTTATAAAATATGTTCAGCATTCACAAATAACTAAGACTTCCTGTGGGCCTATGCAAAAACCCAGGGATTAGTGGTGCTAGAAACCTAAAAGCCTAAAGGGTTGTGATGACACCAAAATGCTGTGTTAAATGCAGCATATCAGTGCAGGAATTAGGATTTTGCTGCTAAAGAATCTAAGAAGAATCCAAACTTCAAACTATGAAATAGTGTTAGAAAACTGTGGATTGTTGAGAATCACATACATTTTCCTTTGAGGACGAAACCAGTGGTCAGTGTTATTAAGGCACAAAGTTTGCACATTAGGGTGCCACTCAAAAATAAAGTTTCTAAATTTCATCTTCCCAACAAATGTGTTAATAATGTGACAAAAACTAAGTTGACAAAATTTGAATGTTTTCTAATAATCTTTACTAGTAGCTCAACACTTTTTGAGCTACTAGTTTTTGAGCTACACAGTTTTACAATATTCAACATTTTCCGATTTTATCATGTAATATTAGGGCTGGACGATATGGCCAAAAATTTTATCACGATAAAGATTTTCATATCTTTCGATATCAATAATTATCACGATAAGTATCAAATCGTTATTTCTTTTGTTTAAAGGCTGATTTTTGCTCCTGAGTGGAAGTTGAAGAAACCTGATAGTTATTTGTGGTTTAAACTCTAAATTATGGTCAACACTTGTTGCTAAACAGTAGATCACTTCACAAATCTGAGTTAGAACATAATTATGATAAAATCTTTGTCAACAAATATGCACGAGTCAAATTAAGTAAAAGCTTTTTTCGGTCCCTTTTCCCCTACAAAATAAACATCTAAATAAAAAAAATAAGTCCTAATTTGTGTATAATTCAAGTGAATAAAGTCAAACATTTATTGAATATTTATTGAACATCTGTTATATTGTTATTGGAAAAAATTATTGTTATTGTTATATTGTCCAGCCCTGTGTAATATTAACTTTAATATCACAAGTTAGAATAATGTAAAACTCCTCAAAAAGAAGACACATAGCTGCTAACAGTTACTTCATAAGTTAATAATAAACACTCAAGTATTCATAAGTGTCCAGAGAATGACTGTATTGCATCTTAAAAAACAGCTACATATGTTTTGTTGTAGGTTAGCTCTCCAGCTCACAGAGTAGCTGCAAATTTCTATGAAGTGGACGAAACACATGCACATGTAAACCAGATAGACTTTCAGATAGACCTTAATTATGGTGTTGAAGTGGCATTAGTGGGCGGCTTTGAACGGTCGTCCCCTTAAAAGAAGGCTGGGAACCCGAAATTTCTCCTGTTGGCTGTGCCATCAGTGTGTGAATGAGTTAATTCCTGTTTCTGATAAGCAGTTGGGTCTCTGCTCATAGGCAGGTGAATGTGATGTAGTGTAAAGCACTTTGAATGGTCGAAAAGACTAGAAAGGTGCTATACAAATACAGCCCATTTACCATATGTGACATTCGGAATTGGGGGCGGAAACAGGAAAATGTTCAGACTGTAGATCACCGAGCCCAGTGGAAAGCTAGAGCCTAAAAGAGCCTAAATGTGTACGTCCGCACTGCGCTCCAACAAATACAAGCGACAGCTGCAGAAGAAGCTCTTGTTAAGTGACCTCTCTTGTGTGCTAAGTGTCCTTCTTTACTGTACCAGAAAATAACTGGTAGGTGGTGCAAAAAATGAGAATAATTAAGGTTAACATGACACACAGATGCGACATGGTGGTGCAGTGGTTAGCACTGTCCCCTCACAGCAAGAGGTTCTGTGGATCGAGGCCCAGGCCTTTCTTTGTGGAGTTTGCATGTTCTCCCGTGTCTGTGTGGGTTCTCTTCATGTTCTCCTGCTTCCTCCCACTGTCCAAAGACATGCATAGGTTAATTGGTGACTCTTTCCCCTTAGGTGTGAACGTGTGTATGACTTGTTTGTCTCTATGAGTTAACCCTGTGATGAACGGGCACCCTGTCCAGGGTTCACCAATGACAGCTGGGATTGGCTTCAGCCCCTTCGCGACCCTGCACTATAACTAACTATACTACTGACTACGGCTGCAATAGTGCTAACCCAAAAATATTATTCTGATTACATAGTATTTAAACCAAATAATAACAACAATAAAAAGAACAGTTAAATGAAGTTAAATTACAACAATACTTACTGAAGGATTAATTTACTTTGGTAGAGAAATTTTTTTTGTAGCCCTTTATATACACAGTTCTTCAGCTTTAGGACAATAGATTTGCACTGTTTGTATCTCAAACATGAAGACGAGGCAACAAAGAAGTTTGCAACAGCCAAACAGTGGGATATTTGTGAATGAACAAGTCAGCCATCAAATGCAAACCCAACTGAGCACTTGTTTTAATTGCTGAAGACTGGACTAACCAACCACACAAAACAAATAAGAGGTGAAGATGGCTGCAGTACATTCCTGACTAAGGAAGATACCACTTCTTTGGAAGTAAACACCCTCAAATTAAAGAGTCAGCACTTGAATTTCATACAAATCCAACTTGCTGGAACCAACACAACAGGAAATGTGTCGCTGTCCTAATACATACTGACTGCACTGTATACACACACACACACACACACACACACACACACACACACACACACACGTACACAAGTGGTGTGACTAGATTAGCAACCCTGGGGAAAGATTGCTGGTACCTGCACAAGCCTCAGTTCACGTCGCTGAGCACTGTCACACTGCTGGTATGCACTCACTCTTGCACCCCCTGGGGACATCAACCCTCTTAGACCTCTCACCCATCCACATGGGGTTTATGTGGCCTCCCTGAGGCTGTATGAACCTGTCTGTCACTCAGCTACATGGGAAATGTGTAGTGGGATGGAGGGAAGGATGGTTAGATGAGCACAAAATAAAGTTTTGGAAACATCGGACGAAAGCAAAAGGGATGGAAATAGAATAGCAAAAAGATGCAGAATCAGAAAACAGATGGAGGGAAGACGGGGAGAGGAGATAAATGGAGAGAGGCAGCTGGAAGAAAAATGGCACAACAGACCGAAGGGCAAATGAAGAGGAGGAAATAGAGAGTGGTGGGATGAGGTCAGAGAGAAAAGACCCCATTATGTGCATGAGTGGCTGCATCATGGTTTCTTGCCACCCCGCTAAATCTAAGCAGCATTGCCGGTCTTTAAACTTTGAGAACATCGCTTCTTCTGGCGATGGCTGTCTGTTTATGTTCAGTCTGCAGCTGACTTTGTTTTTCTTGTGTGTTAACCGACTGGCTTGTGCTTAAGAATCTCTGCTCTGTATATGACTCTACTGTCCTACAGGTCAATCGTTATAACTGATATATTTGTCATGAAATAGCTACAACAGCCACTAAATTATTACAATAATCTCTGTACCAAAGACCACAGACCACCATTTCAGATGTGACATCTTTCTTAGAACTGCTACTCAACCACCACCAGCATAACTCTGTAAGTACAAATCCAGTACTTACATGTATGCAAACTTCAAACTTCAACAGCTAATCTGATAACCATGTGTAGATGTGCACAAACTGAGAAACATTTTTACACATCTGAGAAATGTATAAATAATGTGATAGGTAGGGTATCACATTGTGGGCTTATTATAGCACTGTGTCAAATGGACACAAACTATCATCCACCGCAGTCTCAAGCAACCAAGCAGGTAGCTACAGGCATACTGGGGCTGTCACTTTTTCAAAAAGTCAACTGCAAACAAATTCGAACAAACACCCAATTTGTTAGAATGCAACCCATATAGTGTGGTGTCATACAACTGCACCATGTGTCATGAGACTGTGATGCGACTTGGAATTTCAAATTGTGGCTCCAGTTCTGTCTTGAGATCTGAGACAATGCCCGTTGGCAGAATTTCCTTAAATCTGAATATCTTATTGGTGGTTTTTATTTATAATTGTTATCATTAGTATTCATTTTCTTATAGGTCAATAGGAAATGCAAAAGGTCTAGTTAATAGCTGAATCTTAAGAGCGCTATCCACAAGACAAACTACTGTAAACGGTATGTTGTGCTTATTGACTGTACATTTTGAATTTGAAAAGTTCATTACAGTTTTAATATATTTATATATTTAATAATAAAGTTGACAGTCCTAATCCCCAGACATCAGGCCCGCTCTGATCAATCAGGCGACAATGATTTGAACAAGGCAATTTTTATCATGAATGTTTATTATGATAAAAACAACAAGTATGAAGTAGAAGACACAAATGAACAAATGCCACTCAAACAGTGCTGTCACTCAACAGTATGGGCTTTGGACTCACAGTGCCTAGAAATACCTGTTTTCAAACTTGTAAGGAGCTAACAGAAGAAATGGATGTATTCTCTACACAAACAAGACATTTTAAAGATTCTTTTTTGATGGTGGGATAGTGGGAGAGAGACTGGAGAGGGAAAAAACAGAGAGTAAGTGATAAGACATATAGAGCACAGAGGGTTGACAGATGGTGAGGGCAGAGAGAGGGGGAACCAACGCCATTGCTACAAGAGGTCAAGTAGCTATTAACTATCAACCTGGAACTAGAGTGGAAGGCTTCCTCTGTGGTCGAATCTGATGTTTTATGAAATGGACTGAAGGAAGGGTGTTTGGTAGCATTCTGTTAAGAAAGGTCAGTAAAGTCTAACGTAGAGAAAGAGGGTAGGATGTAAGCATGTGGGCTGTCAGTGAAAGGAGGGACAGGAAAAGATCAGTGAGGACTTGAAGCACATGGAATACAATAATTAGCCTGGTGGAGGAGAAGAGGAGGGAAAACATAAACAGGAGGACGAGATGAGTCAGAGAGGGAGAGCAGCGATATAGAAGTAGAAGTTGTTGTGCTTCAGTGGTGATAACTGCCCTTCTACAGTGTGTGCTGTCGCTCCTCCAACTGCCTTCTGTCTCCAGACTATAGAGTCAATTATGATAAAGGCCATGTGACACAAGGAAATAGCTGAAATGTCAGTGGCTAATTGTTCTGCCATATCCTTACTCTGGAATTAATTACATTAAACCTATACCTGAACTTCTTCTAATATACAACCTAAACGTAGTCAAGCAGCATTCAAGCCTGTGGTCAAATATGGGAGTAAATAAATGTCAGTATCACTGTAAATGCACAGAGCACAAATATAGAAATAATAGAATTTGTAAACACAAAACATGATCTACAAATAGATTCAAAATCCACAAACAAAGTCTCCATGATCCACACATATGAAACACAATGGAAGCCATATTTTAATGAACGCAAAATGATTTGTCTGCGCGTGAGGTTCATAATCTATTTGTAGATAGTTGAACGTTTGTTTTCAGAATTTTGACACTGTTTCTCTGTTTTACAAATAACTACTTCTTCAAATGCACCCTTCACAATTTGCAAACAAACACAGTCTAACTTGTATTTTCAAACAAGAACCAAATTAAGCAACAAGCCTTTGGTTGGAATCTCATGGATTGGACTGAACCATGTGAATAAAAACATGTTGATCTTCATCTCAGCCGGTCAGAGGGGAAGAAACAAAAGTTAAGAGACAAGAGCTGCGATGACACTAACTCCTCTGGTCACACTTGGCCTGTTCACAGCTAGACTGCTCACTGCTCTCTCTCTCTTACAGCCACATGCTCACTACACAAACAGTAAGAAACTCAACAGGACAGTTTGTCCTCCCATTGTCAACAATGGTGCATTTCAATTTGCATCTTTCCATTTAAAAGTAGCTCTCCACCAGACGAGGTCTGAGCCATGCTCATTATTAATGCTGTCTGTCTACAAAGATAAGAGCTGGTCTTTTTAATAACTATATATAGAAATGGGGAAACAGTGTGTGTGTGTATTTGTGGTGCAGAACAGAATATATTTCTGCAATAGCAAGGTGAATGCATGAAATACTCCACGTACATACTTTTCATGCAGCTAATTCAACCAATGTAATGAAAATAACAGTGGTCTTTTGCAGAAGCATGTTCTATAGAATAGATCTAAAAGAGCCAAAAGCATATAACCAGCTCTAACAAGCTGAAAATGAAAGCATCTAAACATATTGAGTTTAATGGTGCACGGAGAAATCACTCAATCAGATAAAAAGCAGATAAAAAGCATCAAACGGATGTTCATGATGGCAGTTGAGGTATGACCTTGATTCACCTGACTTTGAAGACTGAAACTGCTGTCTGTCAGGAGACGATGGCGGTGTCATAACCTCAGTTTGAGTAACTTCTGAAAACTGCTCTGTAGCAAGTAATGAGGTGAAAACTAAAGCAACACCACAGATTCTCACAGTGAATGTGATGGTACCGACTGAATGAAACACCTCGGCATGATGCAAAGTCAATTTTATGAAAAGCATAGAGTTGCTAGTTGTTTTAGGTACACATATCTAAAATGAATGCAGTTTCATACAACAGGCCAGCAATAAACCCTACAATCATGAGCGTTACATGTTTAGTTTTTGTTCTGACTGTTTATAGAGGTGTTGATTCAACTTATATGTCATTTTGGAGAATGAATCAACACTCGTTCTTAGCTGGGTAACTTGAAATGCAAAAAATAAAATACAGAGCAACAACTCTAGCTACACAGTATATTGTGTTATGTTTTATGCAACATGTCCTCATACCTAAATAACAGATGAATCAACAATGAAAAATAATCATTACTGACAATCGGGTCTTTATGTAGGGATTCTCTAGTAGTGGATTCTCTTTTTAGTTACCTTTTTTGTAATATAATTTGAAAGTGTAATTTCCATGCAGTGTTTAACCAAGTCAGAGTTATGGTGATGTTTACTGACAGGTTTATACCGTATGTCTTCTGTCCATTAATTAATTAATTTGGAACATTTCACATGACCCATGAATGTGGTTGGGGTTTACTGAATAAAATACACTAAAAGTGATTTTAAAAGTTGCATCAGCCATGTGTTGAATAACCCCATGAAAGCCAACATTGTGAACAAGTTTTAATTTTGTGTACTCAAAACCCATGGGGTTTTTTTGAGCATGGACCAACATTTGTCTTTAAAATATATTTCTGTCTACTTACGCGGCATGATCCCCTGGTTGACCAACTCCTCTCTGGACCTTCTCTGCTGTAGCTTCAGCTGGAGAACTGAACCGCAGGAAACAGGCAGAAGAAACAAAAGTGGGTCACTGAAGATTGAATAGAGAGCATCTCAAAAAACATCAGTATGTCATCTCTACTAGTTCCCAGTCACAGGAAGCCACAAATGTGGTACTCAGAAGGTAATCAAGTTAGTAGTAGTGGTGTGCTGTTACATACAAGGCACTCTACAGAGGTTTTTATCTACCCTGTTAGCTGCTGCTGATCAGAATTGGTTCTCTGCGGTCCTCTGTAAGAAGACGCACAAAGGTTGTGACACACACTACATAAGTGAAGGGAAACACACAGAAACAGACACACCAACAATTTCCTGTTTCAAGTACACACACACTTTACTGCTGCATTTATCACATCTTATCACCACAGAGATGTAGGAAGTGTGACAAAGAGAATTAAAGGAACACTCAACATGTATATTGTTAATGTAACTTTATTTATATTGATATTTATATATATATATATTTTTTTTTTTTCTTTTTATAATATTGTGAATCTTTTCTATTCAAGAGAATGGAGACTCAGGTGCCAACAAGGTTCAACACAGAACTATTATTAAACTCCTGAAGGTCTCTGGAATTTGGATTTTAGGGTCATGCCTCAATGTACATACGCTCAGAAAAGCTATCAAACTCGTTCTGACTCACGGTGTCCTAAGCTAACCTCACATTTTCGCAGAAGAAAACATCTGCAAAAAGTCTAAGGACTGAACTTCCAAGATGAAAATATGAATTGCCAGGAAATCTATAGATCAGCAGCTACACTATATGTGGGTCATGAAATCAGCATTAAAGTGTAACAAAAAATGGCACCTGGAAACATTTTTGAGGGCTCCATTTTTTACACACCCTGACTGTCCACAGTTACAATAACAGCTCACAATTTAGCACTGCAGAGGTGTGTCTGAGGTGTTGAACAGCTAGTTATATTGTAGCAACTACCAGTAATAAGATAGTACTTAGGTAGTACTCTCAGATATAATCTGATGACATTAAAGTGTAAACTGCATGCTGTATGAACACAGTTAAGTTTTTTACCTGTTAATATTCGATTACGTAACAGTTCCTAATTTTAAAAAAATCTGGTATTTTCTACATGGGCCACATTTGTTAATATTTTGGGGTCTAAATGACCATCTAAGGCCAAACGTTTTGTACCAATTAGTCTTTTACACCCTAAAACATGTTTAAAGAAAATAGGGCCCAGGTTTAAAAATAAAAATCCTCTATCCTCTGATGTAAAAACACTGGTTTTGACTCTCACATAGTATGAACACAAGAAAAGCACAAAAAATCACTGCTAGGTCATACTGTCTGTTCAGAGCTAATATTAAAGGACAAATCCATAAAGTCAAAATTTACTGCTGGCTCTTCTAGGCTGAAGCCTATCCAGTGTTCCAATGACATTCAAACTGTAGCTCAGCTTTCCTCAGCACAGCGGCCCTACACCGTGAGCTGAGCCACTTCATCAGCACTCAGGCTAAGTTCATAAAACCAACAAACTAACATTTCATATGATTTGTATAGGAATTGCACCTAAAAGGAGGATCAGAGGCCAGAAAAGTGGCTCAGTACAAAAATAATTAACAAAACTTAACTTTTATGAATGAGCCACGAATCGAACAAAGACTAAGTAACATTAAATAAATATAGATACAACTACACTATAACACTAATTACACTAATCATAACATAATATAATAATAAAATAAAAAAATATTATATGTTTCTGTGATCTAACATACTGATCTAACCCTTTTTGGTCACTTGAGAACAGAAACGAGCTGTAAACACAACACTGCTGTGTTAAGTTGATATGACAAACTTGTTAGCAAACAGATACCTATTTAAACATTCAGCGGACACTGCCCAACATTATCTTTCATCTGGAGTCATGTCTTTGGCCACTTGCTGAATATACAAAATTCGCGCTTCTTTTAGCTCAGTTTTGGTCTCCACCAACTCCTGAGGTAAATATCTGGCTTTTAAATCCTCCACTACAATCAATATGAGCTTTTGTTGTTGTTGGTAAACAACAGCTGCTTGCTGGGGCTCAAAACACTGATGAAAGCAGTGGGAGGGGCCAAACAGTGAGCTGAAAGATCTAAGATATACAGTAGATCTAAGGAGGCTGTCTGGTGAGTCAGAGAGTTCATACAATCAATTCAAATGAGCTTTATTGGCAAGAATGTGTAACAACAATAATGCCAAAGCATCATATATACTACATAAGAACAATTAACCCCATACATTTCATTAAAATAGTAATAGTTAGCACAGTGTATTCATAGTTCATACTATGAATACACTGTGCACTGAGTGGCGGACTCAACAAAATCTTGCCAAAAATGTGCCTGATCCTGTATGCCTAACTCCTTCTCTTGAACCTAACTTCTTCTTCTTTCATTCTCTGGTCCTCTTTCCACCTCCCACACAAAGGGACATTATCCCTCGTACCCAAACACAGGTTTTGTCTTTTCTGTTGGTCTCTTCTCTCCAGAAGAGCACTTATCATTCTCATGCATCTGCTCTTCTTGTTCCTCTTTTTCAGATAAACTCTTTGTTCTTGTTTTATAAATGTATGTTTTTCTACACAGTAGAAAAAAGATCTGTGTTCTTGTATTTCAGCACTGCCTGCATTTGCTTATAATGAGAGCAGGATCTGTCGCTGTGGCCTATTGCAGGCAGAATCTGCAGAGTCCCTCTGTGTGTCCTACAGTAGCCAAAGATAAAAACATTCATATTCCTTTGATTTCTGTGATGAGGATGTGGCTGATGCAGGATGGTGCAGTTTCTCTCCTTGGCAGCAGGAAAGATTTAACTAGCTCCTGCAGGCAAACATCGGCAGACTAACAAAACAAACACTAACACAGAAACTCACTGTAATCATGCATACTATTTGCAAACACACACAGACATACACAGGAGTGCACGTTAAACACATATTTAATACCTCCACTTATGGCTGAATAGTGTGAATATACATACACAATCCTAAGACAAGCCCACGCACGTTATGTGCTCAATCACACACACACACACACTCACACACACTGTTTTTTAGAGGCAGATGATTTGTGCCAAGAGATGACAGGCAAGTGATGCAATGTGCTGATACAGAATCTATTCTGGGAAAGTGTGCTCATTGCTCAAATGCCACTACACAACAGCAAGTGTACCTTCACTCAACAACAGTTTAACTCAGACAAGACCAATTCTGATAATCCATATGAGGATTTGTAAGTAGGATAGAGAGGGAGAGGAGAGAGAGGGAGAAGGTAGCTCTTTCTTGTGAGTTAACTATTAATAATAACGTTTTTAATTTTAAATTAAACTTACAAAGGAAATTAATTTAAAATTCAGGTTTTTATTTCATGAAAAACTACACACAAAAAAAATTGTTGTAGTTGTTACACCACCATTACATTTTTCCTGTCGTGCACCCCCTAGAGGCAGCTCGCGCGAATTGCTGATGTACAGCATGTAGCCATCGAGTGCAGTGAACTAAAAAAATTTAAAAGACAGCAAAGATCGGTACCTACACCGGCAAAATCGCCAAGTCGGTTAAACATCAGAAAATGCTGTCTACCTCTGTCTGAAAAAAATAAATAAATAAAAATTAAGGTCAATGTGGAAGAACGTTGAATTCATACTCTAAAAGCATATCACATATCAGGTCATAACTGATGCAGTCTGCCGTTAGCTAGTTAACTCAGTTAGCCATGCAGCCAGCTTAGCGGCTCTATTAGCATGGGCTCAACAACCTCCCAGCGATCACGAACAGATCGGGACCGAACACAGCCTCTGAGACAGACGGAGGCCAGTTTGACGACAGGGAAAACAGCACCGAGGTGATTTACAACTAGGACCTCCAAGAATGACATGGCTGGGTCAGGCTGGAACAGGAAAGGCGTCGGGCAGGAGAGGAGCGAGAGGGAGGTCAGGCAATGACACCGTGTAGAGCCCAGAACATTTTCGCATCTAACTAGGGATGTCACAAATCAGGTATAGTGGTATAGTGAAATAACTGGGGGAAAAAAAGAAAATAATAATAATAATAATAGCAGAGGCTACTGTGGTGTCCGAACAATAATGCTGCGAGGATGTGTTGAAAAGAAACCCGCTTGACACTGTTCTTGATCATAAAAGTTTATTAAATCAAAGAGTTCAGCATCAATTACAAGCTCTGCAGCAGCTTGGAGAGTGACTCAGCCCGATGACCACTCATCAATGTACATCGAACATAGCTTATATAGGATATGTGTAGGTATCTGTTAGGTACCATAGAAAGGTTTGAGTCTGCAAAATAAAAGGTCAAACCCATAGAAGGGTACAGTACTATCTTGAGGTAACAAAACAAGGGGTTACAGGTCAAATTCTATAGAAGGGTTCAGTCCCTTCAACCTACATAACCACCAATCACTGCTCTCCCCGTAGAACACCTCCCCAAAGGTCACTGAATCTCTGTCTTGCTGCTACAGTGCTATTTTGAACTGTTATGAGTCAAATACATAAGTATTGGATACTACACTACAACACACACACACACAGACGCACCCACCCACCAAAATTACCAACATGGTGACAGACCATTAGTCTGGAAATATGTATTTTAAATACTAATGACATTGTGACAGATGACACAGACTGAAAGGTAACTTTATACGGTTGCCTACTGATTTGAGCTATGGTTACATTACTTTGCCTAAACACAGTAACCTTTTGTGTTTAGCCATTGCAAACATCGTACTAGCTACCTTTGGTACCTAATTTTGGTATTGAAATGTTGGTTGTCATGACATTCCTACATCTGACACAGTAAATTAAGGGTTTAAATTTAGTTTGGAGTGAGATTCTGTATTGCTGTAAGTTGGTGCATTTTACAGGTGACATTACCCACCGCAAGGGTCACTCCTTAAAACCTCAGGAATTTTATTTAAAAAGTTCAGCAGCCAAATTCACAATTTTAAAGCATTTAGAGATAAAAATCCAAGTCAATAACCGTAGCCAATGCTGAATAAGTATGGTTGATCTGCATATTTGCCAACCTCCAGATTCAGGCTATGATGCCTAAATTGGGAGATGAAACATAACCATCATAATCACTCTGCAAGAAAAACCGTAAACCCAGAAACCTACGAATGACCTCAGTTCCTCTCATCAACCACACTATCTTACACCTTCTCATATAACTCAAAATGCATCGCTTTTTAAAATATATTAAAAATACATTGCAGGGCCCCATAGCCTCTGCAATGCATCAAGGCATGCCGTGACGCAACACCGCACCATTATCAGTTATAAATTTCCCTGCGTGAGAAAACTGATGTGTGGCTGATGTGTGGCGTGAGAGCATGTTAAAAGTGTCAGTTGCACGAGTCTCACAGTCAGTTTGAGATTTGGCAGCCCAGGTTTTGGTGAGTTCTGTTGAGTTTGATTGAGGTGTTTTACGATGAGTTAAAGGAAATTATAGTGGGGAAAGAGAGAAACTTAAAGTTAGAAGGTGTACTGTTTCGTCTTGGGCTGTATGGCTGCTTGGGATGTGTGTTCTCTCTGTGCAGGGGGCGTGGTAGCTGGCTCGGCACCTGGCTCTCCTCCACACCTGCAGCAGATCAACTCATCACCTCTGTGCTCTTAAGCTCCAACCTCCTGGAGGGCCGGTGCCAGATTGTTTTTTGCCATCCGTGGTAACAGTTCTCGGCCTACTCAGACGATTCTGTCACTAGCCTTCGCCTTCGCCTTCGCCTTCGCCTTAAAGTTTGTTCCTAAACAGTTTTTTTGTCTCCTCACTTTGTTTCCAGACCTCCGCTGCCTCGTGCCCCCTCGCCTTGCGAGCCACACTCCTGGATCCACAAGCTCTCTAGCTTCCCAGCCTGGCCTTCCCAACCCTTGCCTAGTTATTGTTTTTGTTCTCAAGAATAAACCTTTTTTTCCACACCTTCACCAGGTCTGCGTTTGCACCTGAGTTCTACCACCACCCAACTCGAACAGTGTACATTGTATTTTTATGTTTGTTAAAGCATAATAGATAGAAGAATATTTCCTTTCTTGACATTTTGTGAGTTTGCTTTTTTTTTATTTATTAGATTAAAGAAGCTTGTGGAATGCTAGCACAGATCTCCCACCTGAAACTATGGGGGAGAGGCCTGAAGTATACTATCAGACAATCACCTCTCAAGGCACAAGTGGTATTACAACACAGGACTAGCTGGTTAACAGGCTAATATCTCTGCAACACAGAACATAATAGTCATTGACATGACAAACTATTACTTCTTCAAATTCCGTTTATAACGTTAGTTCATTTTTTAAAATGTTTTACACTAAAATTCTGGCCAAATCGCACACATACCTTTAAGGTATTTCAAGTAGTAAATCTGCCCCTGTTGTTGTGTCATTGTAAACTGCATACAGAACATGGGAGCAACAGTAAATATAAGGAGGCTATATGCAGGCATGTGAAGTTGTGAAATATATATGTATGTTTTAGAATTCTTGTAATTTTAGCAGCGAGTTGTGAATGATATTGTGATTTTAGTTTATTTTGACATGTCTGTTTTGCATTAACAGAGGTCAGACAGTGGTCAACTAAAAAAACCCAAATATGACAGGTATACACAGGTAAATATGGGGTTGACAAACTTGATATCATAACATGATACACCTGTTGCACCAGGGTTTGCACGTGTGGCTGCCTCAACTCAACCCAAATCCTATTCCACAAATTGTTAAAAAAATTTTTACCAACCCCACAAAGCAATATTTCAATTTCACTCCATAATAAAATTGCTTTCTTTTCAATCTTAAACTCTGTCCTCTTTCATCACTGACTTCATTCTCTTGGTCCCATCTCTTTGTTTCCCCCTCCTCTCTGTCTGACAATATGGGTCATCTTTCAACACATTGCTATAAATGAATTTTAAACACATTTATATTGTCCAGACTCTCATGACCATGTGGATATATTGAATCTGTTAGTTTAATTTTTCAATGATCCAATTTTTTAAATCATTAAGAGCTATAAAAGTAAAATGTACTTCTCACTTTTGCCAGTGTTTCTGTTCTTTTTGATACTGTAGTGCAGCACTTCCTGTACTTTGTGCTCTCTGTTTCTATCCCTAACCTGTAGTCCTCATTGCTCCCTCCCCCTTGCTCCCTCACGCACTGTTCTATTTGTGTCCATGCCGTAACCTCTTGGAACCCAATCCTTCTGGACAGCTGAATGAAAAGGAACATTACTGTAAATTGCCTAAACAGACACACAGAGGAAGAGAGACAGTTCAGAGGAGTATGACCACTTTCACCAGAATGAGACGCAATGTAGATAGATGAACAGATCAATAGATGAAGTACGTCTAAGCATATATGGGTTAAAATGCTGCCATCATGCAAATTTCTGTCACTTTCTGTCATGAAGTTAATGTGTCTCTCTGTAAAAATATGCCACAGTCCACAGCAAATCTCTCTTTACAATACATACATCTTAACACTGTGTGGAACACCAGTTTCAATATACTGTATCTAAACAACACCAAATGCTGTTAGAAGAGTTTCAAGTATAATTTCAGTTTTAATGAAAATATCCATCTTATTTTAGAGTTTGGCTCAATCCATGTCATTATATTTTAGACTTCTGTGGAAGTCTCTTGGAGTTCCCAGAGTTTGTCTTTTCCAAAATCGGTCCAAACTGCTCTCAGTCCAGCTACTTTGGTGCGAGGCCCATGCCGCTACAGTCAACAGGTTGATGAGTTCATGTGCTCAAGGCAAAGTGTGCAGTGCCCAGGCTGGCTGAGCCCCAACTGTAACCCAGCCACTTGTAGGGTATTTGATCCACTTAACACCTGAGCCCAGAAAATAAACCTGGACGACACTCGGAGGAAGGCCTAAACACTTAGAACAGTCGATGGAGTTTGTGATATACTGTTTTTTTATAGTGACAGAACATTTTAGACATTTACTTTTTTTTGTGCATTTTTTCTCCAAACAACAAACGATGAAATTAAAGCATTAACCAACAAGCTTCATACATTTGTAGGTACCACTAGACTCCATAGATTCATTTGTTCATTGTGTGACTTAAATCAAGCATTTATTTTGAAACATACGCCATTAAGTTTACAGTTGCACCTCCCCTCTTGTCACTTCCTGTAACTTGATATCCCTTACACTATCCCTGATCAGGTAATCAAAATTCCAGCTAAGCTTTTGTTCTCTCGCTTTCCACTCTCACGGGCTCACATCTCAGACCTGGGGACAGAGGACTCCTCAGCAGTCTAGTCTGGTCGGAGCAGACACACCGAACCAAACTCTTTTTTGTTACGGCAGTGACACGAGGGATCCCTGCAGCCAAGCAAATTCTTTGCATCTATGCTTTGTTTAATCCATATAACTATATACAGCACAGTGTTTTGCACAGACGATTATTACAGTTGCACAACGCGCTTACGCTGTGGACAATTAAAGTCAGCGTGATTTGATGGAGTGGAAGAGACAGTGTCCAAAGTATGGGTGCTTTCAAGCTAAAATGCAAAGCAAAATGGCCTAGGCTACTGCAATTTTCAAATCGCAGTAGGCATATATTATTTGTTAAAGGTGAAATGTGTGTAAAAATACCATTAAATACTAAATTAAAATTAAATTAAATACTGTCGTGTTGCAGAGATGTCCTGGTCTAAAACATCTTTGGCTGCTACTAATCCATCTCAAAAAAGTCACACCATAACCATTTTAACATGTTTTTCAATGAAAATGAGAATAGTAATGTATTAATTAAAATCGTGATGGCCACACGCTAAGTTGGTGTTAGTTGTGCTTCACACAGATGCAGGGTGTTGCGTGCCAACTAACTGTCCTCTGTCCTGGCACTGTTATATTACATATCGAATTGGCTTTAAACATAGCCACACACTGAGGAAACTTAAAACTCCCGCTTCACATTCTTTCTTTGTTTCTGACCTAACCACACGTGTGTTCATGCTTACGCAGGTGAAACATATGGAGGCAGGCAGAACAAAGAAAAATATAATACGAACACACCCACACACACACACTCCTTTTTGCTTTTGACATTTAGTTAGAGCTCCTATTGTATGTTTCACCAACCTCTACTATTCAGAACTCCAAAACCTTCAACCTTTACTAGCTATTATATGGTCATGGTAAACATACTGCATGCAAGGAATGACAAACAACAGGTCTCCCACCTTGTCTGAGACTCTGACAGGCCTGGCGCTCTAACTCAAACCGTATGGCTCTTTCATCCATGTTCCTGCTGATTGGCGGAGGCCTGAGAGGGGCACAGTCAATGCGGACACAATGCAGTTGCTCCAGCATGGCAAGCGCGATCAAACGAGGGAATTCCTCTGAATGAGACTCCGTGAAACAAGAACAAAGAAAACAAGGAGCAGGAGGTCGGCTACAGCTTAGTCCAGGTGTTGGATTCACGCAGCTAAGTCACAAGTCTGTAAGTCCACAAAACAGAACAACATAATCCTTCTTGACAACTGGAAATTGAACTCTTTGAAAGTTGGGTGGATACAGTTGTTATGAGTGAAAAAAAGGATATTCTTTAAAGCAAAGTAAAATTTGAAAAGAAGGGTTGTGCAAAGTTTCTGAAATCAAAGACTATCAAAAGAAATTTCTCCTCCTCCACAAAACAGGCATTTCTTTTGAAAAAACTCTTCGCCTAGATTCAATGAAAATATTGTCCTCTTTAACGAAGTCCCCCTTAAATGTGTCATGTAAGTGGAATAAATAAAGCGTGTATAAATACAAAGCTACTGTATCAGAGCTACTGCACTGCTTTCAAAGAGCTTCTGCTGTATTTGCTGTCGCTACAGGGCTGACTAAGACGTGCGTGTGTGTATGTGTGTGAATCTGTGATCAAGCAGTCACAGCTGTTGCTGTTCAGCCGTTGACAGGCACAAACAGATGCACACGAGGACACACACACACACATACACACACACACATACACACACACACACACACGTTCTGAGAGGAGACCCTCACCAAATTCCTCTCACTTAGCACTTCTGATCTGAGCTCAGTGTGGTCACAATGATATGCACCTGTGTGAGCACCTCTCTGTCATCATACCTTCACGACTAAAATCATCACACAAACACCAAAACACCTGCTGCCAATCTGCATGCACTTCTGTCTGCTCTCACCTTTTTTGTTTGGCTTTTCTTTCTGCCCAGCTATCGGACTTTTTAACCATGTTCAAAGGAGTCTATCAAACTCAGGAACACAACTTGTCTAGTACAGTTTTTTGCAGGAGAGGACACCGCCATTAAAACTTGAGCAGCGCCAAAGACTGTCAGATCTGACAAGCAGATCTTGACCCTCTGGTGGGCAAATTGTGCTGTGGTTGATTATGAGTACTGATGTGACTGGAATCAGCAAGACGAAACGCCCAAAAGGCACAGTTTCACTGAGCTACTCACGCATGAAAAGCCTGGCATAAGACTGAACTGAGGGCAGACTGCTCACACTCATGACTCATGTGTTCTTCAGAGGGTAAATGATGACGAGGACCACAGAGACGTCCATCAGCATGCCACAGATTACCATGGTAACAATCAGTTCCCGCTCAAGTTTTTCAATTTAATGTCATGTGTTTTTTAGGCAAGGCAAGTTTATTTATATAGCACCTTCCAAACACTACAGCCATTCAAAGTGCTTTACAGACGCAAAGATACAAATACAGAAACAAAGGTACTTTATAGTATAAAAGTAGATAATCAACAGGCAATGAATTCAAATCCAAAAAATACTTCAGAGAAATAAATAAATTAAAAGCCTAAAAACAAAAGGCTAATTCTCCGTGTTTTGCTTCTTCCAGTATCTAAAGACCTGAGGGCTCTCGGCACAGGTTCGTGCCTTTGAAGGAGATTATTGATGTATATTGGTCCTAGCCCATTGAGTGCCTTAAAAGCAAGCAACAAAACCTTGAACTTGAATCTCAGTTTCACTGGAAGCCAGTGAAGTGACCTCAGAGCTGGACAGATGTGATCATATTTCCTAGTCCCCCCAGGTATAAAGTACCCCTCTTCAAGCATTTATACATGTTTGTTAGTACAGTGATTGTCAATGCAGGACACATAAGTAGAAATGAAATTCAATATTAACCTCTTAAACTCCACTAGGACACCAACAGTACGTCCTCGGCTGTGTTTTAGAGGCTGTAGCGGGTTTTAAAGTAAGAGTGAAGACACAGGCCTGCTGGGAAGGGGGCAAAATAACACTCCGAATTTAGGGTTTTGTGAATTCAATGAGCACCAATTGTGTTCATGCTCATGAAACTTTACAAGCACAAACTAGAGACCTTGGGCAGAGGTTTTCAAAGTGTAAGACAGGCCTCCCCAGGGGTGCTCCAAAATGTTTCAGGGGGGAAAAGGTGCCTTTTCCTAAGCTTTGTCTGAGGTCCCATCCACACTACTCCGTTTTAGTTTATAAACGGAGAATTAAAACGAATACGATCTCCTTCCACACCAGCGTTTTAGCTGCGTATCAGAGTTGATCTTCATCTATACTAAAACAACTGAAAACACACATCTGGTGGCCGTACACTGGACACGCGTGTGCTGGTGTAAACATGAAGCAGATAGTTACAGAAGATTTTGCAAAAGAACAAAGTACTACAGACAAAGAACCACACCAGATTTTATTTTGCATGGATCAATAACGAGATGGGACTGTTACTGAATGTAACACGGGAGTTGAAAGCAGCTGTGGCGGCGGAAAACAGGCTGGGAGTCTTCGCATACACAGTACAAGTGTAGGCTGCAAGTGTTATTTGCACGGTAGAAAATATTTTAATAAAAATACCAAGTCAAAAACTAGCATCGTGTTTCTACTTTGCATGACTTATGAGACCCAATCAGAGAGCTAAACGTGAGCGTGTGCGTCATCGTTTCTAAAGTCCTCCATTTTTGCCTGTCTTTACTAAAAGGCTCTCTGGAGTTTTAAAACAAAAAACGGGGTCGGCAGCAAACGTAGCAAAAGGTCTCCGTTTTAAAACAGAAACGCAGTAGTGTGGATGGGGCCTGAGCCCACATTTTCAGACTTTTAAAACCGCTGACCTAGGGCATTTGGAGGATATCTGGCTCTCCTTGGTATATTGACAATAAGGGGATTTATGAGCAATACCCAGAACAGATGTTACTTCTAACAGAAAATCTTTTTTGAGAAAGCCTTTTCTTTGAAACCAGCATGTAGTGAACATCAGAAGACTGCAAGTCACTTCTACACTGACTTTGACATTAAGCCATTGTGGTTGAAAGATAAAAGAAAAAAAACAAAAGGTATGACTTCATCCGTAGTCCAACTACCAGCCGATCTGTTCTCTTTCAGTAGGTCAATAATAAAGTATACCTGCCTTTCTGTCTTTATCTCTCTCTTTCAGCTTGACTGTCTTCTCTCTCTGCCAGCGTCAGTAGAAAAAACCTGTTCCCGTCCACTGACAGTTTCATTCATCTCTATTATTAAGGCTCTGTCCCAGGTGACATCAGATAATATGACATGACATTAAAAGGTGAGAAAGGGCTCTTTCAAGGTAGGAAAACCAAGCGGTCTCTTCTCATCTGTCGGTTAGCATTACAATCAACCGACGGTGCTTGTCATGTTCACATTATATTGATGAAACAAATTATGTAGCGCCGGCGGTACTTTAAAAAACAAAGAAACGGTGAGCGCGCGGTAAAGTGTGTGTAAATGATTTGGTTATCACTGACTCTATTACAGGCATAAAGGATTGTTAAGTGAGCTGACGCACACAAACAACAGTCTGCGTATTTGTGTGCACGTTAAATATGCAAGACGGTGTCTGTGGGTGCATTTTTGTATCAGAGAGTGTTAATATGCAAGATGTGGTGTCCCCAGGCAAAGAACTCCTCAGTCTGATGAGAGAGGGGAAAACGAATCAGGACTCTGATCCGCCATTACTCCAGATAAGGCCCCAACCAAAACGCTGGCAGGGATAATCCCGCTTTGCTGGGTGTGTTTGTGAGCATGTGCGTAGGTGTAAGTGATTGTTTATTCTCAGAGTGTATCTACGTCTGTGTTCAACTCTGTGCATCACTTATGTATGTGTATTATTTATGTTATAGCAAGAGTATAAATGTATCTAAAAATGTGTCTGCACATCTTTGCTTGTATGTATCTGAGTCAGTTAAGTCCCTATAAAGTGTGTCAGTCATAAACGCACAAGATAAAAGCCAACAAATTGCTAAGGGCTCCAAGTGGACTGTAAATCTCCATCTCTCTATCTTTTTCCACACGCAGAGCTCGGTCTTGCTATATCCGTGGAGGCAGATGTTAATCACTGTTTATTAATAAGCAAAAAAAAAAGCAAATCAAGTCTACTCAAAGTAGTGGTTTGGTGAGGTAATGTTTCTACAAGCATCAAAATCTATGGATTAGTCAAGGTCAATAACGTAGTGTAAGTGCTGAACTGTTACTGTCGCTACTGTTGCTGAAGTCCTGTGGAGGTCAGTTAGTTTTGTTCATTATCCTTTCTGAAATTCTATTTGTGTGGTGAGGTCAAGGGGGTATTTCCTCTTGAATATCTCTACAACTGCTATTTAGTACTACGTTATTTTATAGCAACCATATTATATATACAGTAGGTCAAATTAAGACGAGTGCCAAATAATCATGTCCATATCGGACATTTTGAGATAATTGACATCGGCTGATGCCTGCACTCAAGAGGCCGATAAACAAAAACTTTCCGCAGACACATCTGCAGGCAGCCTTGTCAGTGTGGCTGCTGTGGAACGATCTTAGCGCTTCCGCTTGTGAGTTTTGGGAAGAAGGTGAAAGTTTGTTTCAAGCCCTAAATTTCCTCATTCACTATTGTCTTTTATGAATGCTAACACATTTCTCCCATCCTAAATGACAGTAAATCCAATCTAAAACCATCACTGGCTAGTGTTAAATATATATTGTTATACTGTTGAGAATAATGCATTTGAATGACGTCACTTCTGAGCCCAACCAATGTTGGATTTTTAAGACCAATACCAAATATGATATCAGCCAAAATTCTTTTTGCCCTTCTTTTCAGAAACACATATAAACAAAGATTATCGCTGACATTTGTAACAAGCTGCGATGGACTGGCGACCTGTCCAGGGTGTACCCCGCCTTTCGCCCAATGTCAGCTGGGATTGGCTCCAGCCCCCCGTGACCCTGTACACAGGATAAGAGGATAATGAAGTAACAAGAACTTCATTGTGTTAGTTTTAGTGACATCTAGGGGTGAGTGTTGCAAATTGCAAAAAGTGGCTCACGGTGCATTCACATGCTCCTCGGATGTGTTCATGTGCTCTTAAAGGCAGGGTAGGCAAGGTGCTTGTTTCTCAAACTTACCTACCCTGCCTTTAAGTCGGAATGTGGAATCAACATGGACGCTATTACAAAGATGTGTTGGATTAGTATTATAAGAGCTAACTAACCATTATAGACATTTTACAAAGTACATGTTTGCAAATAGGGGTGTAACGGTACATGTATTCGTTCACATACGCAATCTTTTACATACGTAAATTCCGAGTTTCCACACAGACATATTAAGTGGCGGAATAAATCTCCACCATGCGGTGCTACAGCGCTACACAAGCAGCCACTTTAGCCCAGCCTCTCGCTAACTAGTGACTTGAAAACCCTACCTTATTGTTAACATCTTTTGTTTGGCAGCACTTCAGTGTCCTTGTGAAATACAACAACGGACAAGTCGATAAGACTAAAGCAGTGGGCCGACATTGCTCAGTAGTGATCGAGTATCTTTCTGCCAACACGTCAAACTTGCTAACTCTCTAAAGGTATCACAC